CATCTATTTTTGACGAAGTCAAAGGAAAGCAACACTGGCAGTCTCGCGATGAGACGCGAGTACCGTTATTCAGCAAATCTCATTGCCTCTAGGCTCTCATCTACAGGAAAGTACTCAAGCAATGAATCCCTCATATCTCGACGTATGGCACGATACACACCAGAGTATCCATCTGTCGGCCTCTCTTTGCCCACCTTCACTGATAAGTTTCAGGAAGATCTGCTTACTGGGATAATAATAGTTGGTTGCTCTACGACCACAATTAACAGCGTACCGTGTGGCTAACTTGTTGAAAAGACCCGCCCATGCTAGTCCAATCGAGCATGCCCCTACAAAAGGTACTCTTTTTCTGCTTCAAGACCCGAAGAGAATGCTGTAGTACTAGCAATAAAACTCATGAGATTTGATAAAAGAAGTTGAGAGGAGCTTCAGTGCTTTTCACCATTATAACACGAAAATATAGTGCCAAAGACATTCGATTACCACTATCACAAATTTAGAGAGCAATTATGAGACATTTTACTCCATCCTGCTAAACTGCTAACAGGTTCTTTACCTGTGCGCTCTGAGCTACTTTCTTGAGCTGAAAAACTTCCACTATAACATTAGTTGGCAGATCGCTTACTAATTCGACTCCCAGCCTCTGCAGTTCTGAGACAAGGAGAACACTGACTGGTCTAATACGAGGAGCACAGTAGCAGGTGACCATTGTGAATTGAAATATTGTTCTTAAACGCCATGGCTCTCCATGAACCTCGGCATTGTGATAATTTTAAGAGCGGTCCTACTACCGGCCTGCTGGTCTCGAAGAACGGACTGTGTGCGGTGAGTGCCCCCTCTTACGATTAGGTGATGGCCTGTAATGTACTCGAACTTCAGTAGGGTAGTGGAAACGTTTGGTCGGGTAGTCATAAATTGCTTCGATCCTTTCAGGCTCTGAAGAAGGCGATCCCGCCGAAACGTAAGCCATAAAGGTGATTTGGCAACCTCATGTAGAGCTTAATTAAGAAATCTTACAACTGTCCATCAATTTTCATTCTATGCGGAATCAAAAAAGTGGAGAAAATTCAACCTAACCGCGCTGTCCTTAGCAGCGTAATACACACTAGAGCCCACTATTTGATTTCGAGACGCTCTATTGCAATGCGCGTTAAATAAACAATCAAATTAAAACACC